CCTAACCCTCTCCTTGCCTTCTTCTGATTTTGGGGGACTGAGCAGTGGAACCTGGGGCTGGTGGCTTGATTCTTGGTACAGGGACTCCGGGATCACCTGAGAGGCCTCCCTTTGCCCCTCACCTTTTGGGGTTGGGTCTCTCCTTCTTGCCAAACGAATCCCATGGTGATGGCGGCCAGCACCAGGTGCGCCAGGCGTCGCTCCCGGTGCCCCTTCAGGAACCTGCAGTCCAGGAGGGGCATCTGTTGAAGAGATGTTAAGATCAGCCACTGAAAAACTAAAGGCTGGGGCACTAAGACAGGGGTCCCGTGACTTGAGGGTGACTTAGAACGCTGTTTAGCTTTCACCCGAGGGATATCAAAGTGGCTTCGAGCATACCCACTTAACCCAGCTCTTAAAGCGATGCAGTGTGGGAGGTGCAATGTCTTGGGGTCGAGTATCCAGGCTGTGTTCAGGTTGTGCCCAGTCCCTGGTCTCCATCTGTTGCTTTGAGGGTCGCAGAGTAAGCATCGAGGCTGACTGGCCTCATCGTATCTACTGGCCCCTAGCTTTTCAACCCCTTTAACCTTGTAACAACTTTAAAAAGAGCAAGATCCAAGCCAGGCGGCGGTGGTGCATACGCCTTTAATCCCAGCACTCAGAGCCAGGTGGATCTCTGTGAATTCGAGGCCAGCCTGGTCTACAGAGTGAGATCCAGGACAGGCACCAAAGCTACACAGAGAAACCTTGTCTCAAAAAACAAAACAAAACATCTCTGTGAATTTGAGGCCAGCCTGGTCTACAGAGTGAGATCCAGGACAGGCACCAAAGCTACACAGAGAAACCCTGTCTCAAAAAACAAAACAAAACAAAAACAAGATCCAGTGGATTAGGGATATAAACTCCCTACAAAAGGCTCAGCAGGGTATAAGGCTTACACCGGGCCCTGGTAAACCACCCACAACCCAGCAAGATGAGGTGCCGGGGCTTTCCACACAGCTCGGTCCCCACCTCGTCCCATGGGAAACCACAGCTTCTGGTGACACGGAAAGCAGAGCCAGTGCGCAGTCGGGCCACACCAGCTTCCCTGTCCTGCCGGGCTGCCATCAGCTCATTGCTCATCCCTTTGGCACTCCCCCTCATCGCTCCCTTTGCTCCACAGGCGCCTCGGAGGGCAGGCGGAGGGCAGGCTGAGGGCAGGCGCCACTTGAAGCTGCTGGCGACACTGGTTTCCTAGGGTTGATGCCTGGGCAGAGGGGGCGCAGGGCCCTTCCTTCTCCCGCCGCTAGGGGGCAGGGTCTGCCTGCGGCTGCGGTCGCTGCAGAGGCTGGCCACGGTAGTTACCTGGTAGTCTCTACAAGAGGCTTTTTTTTTTTTTTTTTTAAGTATCTGTGCAAGAGGCTTCATTTTAAAAACAGTGTCTGAATTATGAGGCTGAAGACCCCATGCAGGAGCCAAACTGTCTCAGAGGCATTTGCCAGGGTCACAGAATCAGGAAGTGTGGAACCAAAATAAGACCAAAATGTTTTCACCCTAAAACGAAGGCCTAAGATTTCTCCTTTTTTTAGGTATAGGCCATGAGTTACTGGAATAGGCCGTGAGTTACTGAAACCAGCCAGCCCAGACTCCAGAAACCGGAAAGTGTAAAGTACAGAGTCACAAGGTATTCGTGAGGTGATGACTGCTGGACCACGGGAATGTCCTCTCCCTGGCTCCCTAGATAACTGTTTGACCACAGAGTGTCCCAACCCTAGTCTCCATAGTGACTGTTTAATCACCAAATGTCCCCACCTGGGGGCAGCCAATGAGAAATGGTGACATGGTGACTGGCAACCACCTCCTCAGAAGGAAGATTGGATCATGATTTCTGTAAGTCCCTAGACACAAGCCAATCAGAAATGTACATGTATGGAAATTCTCTGCTGTTGCAGTTTTGCGGTTTTTGCCTTTAAAAGCTGTGCAAGCCGGGCGGTGGTGGCACATGCCTTTAATCCCAGCACTCGGGAGGCAGAGGCAAGCGGATCTCTGTGAGTTCAAGACCAGCCTGGTCTACAGAGGGAGATCCAAAGCTACACAGAGAAACCCTGCCTCAAATAAAACCATAGATAGACAGATGATAGATAGATAGATAGATAGATAGATAGATAGATAGATAGATAGATAGATAGATAGATAGATAGACAGATAAATAAATAAAAATAAAAGCTGTGCACAATTCAGGCTGGACACTTCCTCCAGCCTCCACTGTGCTGGGTATGTTGGACGAAGTCCCTGCCTAGGCTTGTATTGATCATGGATATCCCGAATTAAAACCTTGTTTTTGCATTCCAGTATGCTCATCTTCGGTGGTCTCTCTGGGGGTCGAGATCTGGGCACGACAGAAGGAATGAGGAAGTTCTGTGGATTGACCACAGCTCACTTGGGTCATGAGTCACAGGTTTTGTTTAAAAGTTTCCAGTAGCCACAGTTCTTTAAAGCCAAAAAGAAGTAAAATTAGTCTTCATAATGTACTTTGTTGAGTCAATGTATTTTGTATTTTAATAGGTAATCAGTATAGAAGTCTTTCAAACTCTTGAAAATCTATTCTGTGCCTTCTCGTTTTGTCCTTGGCCACATCTCAGGTGTTGTAGGACACCAACGGGACAGCCTAGGTATAAAGGATCAAGGTCCACTGGAAGAAGGTTGCTCAACATTTCAGGGTTGCTGGCCCCGCCTTCTAAACATACAGATGATTAAAAAAGCAACTATAGGGACTGAAAAACAAAATAATTATCTTTGTAGTTAATCACTTGGCCTATACAAACAGCAGCAGATGGTTAGGGGGAACGCTATACACCCCTTATCTTCCCGAGCCGAAAGCAGTGGCCACACATTCTGGAATTTTCCATAGTTCATTTTCTTTTTCAAGTTCAGCTCTGCTTTGGTTTAGAACACAAAGAATTGGGTTTCATTGTCACATTTTAGTGGTGGGGGGGAATAGAGGTTCCTATACACCACACACACACACACACACACACACACACACAGTTTATTTTCATTACTTCATTTCCTAGCATTTGCTTGTTGGAAAGGCTGCTTCTTCAGCTCCACATGGGTTTGCTGGTGCAAACTTGACCCTGAAGAAAGGCTGCCATTCACTTGCCTTATTACAGCTCTAACTGTCCAATCGGACTCTCTGTAAAAAACAGTGGTGTTCCTTTAAAAAGCACCTTTTTAAACTTACAAAGTAATTGAAATCGGCTGTAAAATGTCAGGCACAAACAAGTGTATATGCATACTTTATAATCAGAAAATGGTCTCTTTGGAATCCGTACCACACCTGGGATAGAAACTGACATTAGAAATTTAGTGTGCTGTATTGGATTGTGTATTTAACCAAATATTATAGGACGTTGTTCGATTATGTATTTAACCTGACAAATTTAATCTCAATGTTCTTTTCTCAGAACTCGGTAAATATTCAGGGGCTCTCTAAACCAGCTCTGCCACCCTGCTGACTCCCACACTGGGGCACTGAATATTTCTGACACACATGAGGTACTTGTATGCAGCACTTCTTGAATGTATTGAAAAGTATACTTTGATACAAAGTCTAGCAAGATGAATATGCACAAGCCAGGATATTTGTTTTTCTACAGAATGGAAAAAGAGTCTTTATGTTGACACACCTACACCTCCAGCATTCTGGAGCCTGAGGCAGGAAGACCTCAAATTTGAAGCCAGTCCAGAAGACATGTTAAGACCCTCTCAGAAGGTAAAAACATATGTCTCTCTTTCTATCATTTACACATGTATGGATGTTAAGCGCACATTCACACAAAGTAGTTTCTGCATACATATACTACCATACACTTTCTGGTACTCCGAAAACTGTAGGGCAAGGTGTATAGAGTAGCAGAGACACAGACACGTGCCTATGTGGCCACTTACTGGCTGTACATTTTCATTTATTTAGCAAGTATGTTTATTAATGGAGGTTCGGGGGCATTCCCTTTTATCCTATTCATCTTTTCTCTTTTATTCACTATGGCTATTAAAATGGCTTCATGAAACGGCCTTGTGTATTCTTTTTTAATTTTTTTTTAATGAGTATTTCTGGAAGATCAATTCCTAGCTGTAGCAAAGCACATGCATATGTGATATCTTCACTGGTACCATTACCTTACTTATCACACAGAACCGTCCTAACTGTTTGTCCCACTGCATCCTGGCTACTAACCAGCTAGTCAGTATAAAAGAGGGTGGGCAAAATCAGAAGCATTGGTTTGTAGGTCTCACAATGGGAGACCCTCTACCGCTGGGCCCTTCACCTGACGCACATCTAACATTCTTGTGGATTCCAGATTTCAGCTAGAGAGAGAAGCATGAGACTTTCCCTTTGAGGGTGAAATACCTTGTGAAGAGTTTTAGGGAACAGTGTGTATGTTCTTCAAACCCACAGCTTGATTCAGGGTAATATGCTCACCGTAGGTTTTTGGGGGTGTGGGGCGTAGATCGACATTAGTACTTTTCTTATCTTGTTCTCCACCTTAATTTTTCCTTTGATGTTTTTATTAGTATTAGTGTTTCAACAGTGTGTACAAACCACCTCTGAGCCCTTTCCCAGCAGATTCCCTGCAGACTTTGCATGAGTTTTGTGCAAAAATAAACTAAAATAACTCTTTTGGGATTGCACTTTCTTACATGGGTCAGCCTGAATGGGGGTTTTGGGGAGAGGAGATTTATCTAGGGTGTTACTGGGGCCTGCCGCCTGTCCTGACTTCTGGATATCCTATGAGGGCCATTTGATGAGTATTTTTAAATCAATTTATAATTAGACATTAAACGTCAGCAAAGAAGGTCCTGGAAGGTAGAGTGCCTTCTTGTGTCTCTGAAATCCTGCGGCTTTCATCTGACAGATGGAGCCGAGAAAGGGAAGTAATATGCAGATATTGGGTGTTGTTATAAGGCAGGAACTGTGACAGGGTCCTGACAAAGGCCATTAATGCTCACAACAATGGGATGAGGGCTTCCTCCATTTCTCAAAGGAGGAAGTGAGATTATGAGGCTCTCTCAGAGTTTCAGTGCTTACTATGAAATTCCTGAATCAAAGCATGTTTTCTTAGTAACTTGCCTTCTGGAGGGGGGTGGCTTCAGGTTTCCCAACACCAAGACGTCATACTCTTCTGTATTTCTTTTTGAGGGAAATTGCTTACTCTGTCACAGATATACCTCATATACTTACATGCATGCAAATTTTAATGTGCTGTCTATGGAGTTCATTACTTCTCCAGAGCCATGGCTGACCTTGTCTTTATAAATCAGAAAGACTTTTTATTCAGCTAATATATGACACTGTAAGGTCAAGCTAACCCACTCAGAGGTAGCAGAGCACCCACCATGTTTGGGACAAGCCCCCTGAGAATTTCCATGCCCGTCTTCCTCATTTTCCCTTAATTTATTCTCAATGCTCGTCTATAATCATTTTTACACAAACACACAATGAGGACTTGATATGTTGTGGGTGTTGTTTTTGTGCAAGCCTGGGAAGGCAGATTTGATGACAATCTCATGGCTATAATCAGTCCCTATGGCCGGGTCAACTGTCTCACTCCCACAAAGCTGAGCAGAAAAGGTCTACGAAGATGGAAGAAGGGTGACAAGGGGCGTGAAGAGAATAAAAAATCAAAGTACCTTGTAGACATGGGCCTGGAGCTGGTGGCTCTCAATTAAGTGAGGGAGCTTGTTGGCGATTTCCATCCAAGGCCTGTAGTGATCAGGAAGTTCTTTCTGTGTTTCAAATAGAAAACAGCTCAGTCGTTCAGATCTCTCTGGAAAGCAAATTTGGAATACTCTTCCGAATTCAAGTCAGCCCAGGTGAGCAAACAGAGCTCACTACAAGCCTGGCCTTAGGCTAGACTAACCACACAGACATGCAGGTGACTAGAATACAGATCTTGTGCTCCTCATATCATATAGCAAGGGATGGGAAAGTGCAGGCAGATGGGTCCAGATGTAAATCACATGCTTCATGCTGTTGTGTGTCTGTGAGCTTGGCACTCTATTGAGAATGGAAGTGGTTAATTCTCTCACCTGCTCTGAGAATGAAGAGAGAATAGTCACAGAAACATGAAAATAGGGCCTGGTTTCGAAGTCCAAGCGTGACTTTTCTTTTCTTCATTTTTATTTTTGTGTTTATAGTCTTTTGAGACAGAGGTTTGCTATGTAGTCCAGGCTGACCTTGAACTCACAATCCTCTGCCTCAGCCTCCCAGGTACTGGGTTGTAGATATAAGCCCTCAAGTCTACAGTCTTATTTTTTTATTTTGAGACAGTCTCTGTGAGTTGCCCAGGCTGCCACTGACCTCATGATCCTCCTCTTGCGGCCTCCAGTGTAGCTGGGGTTACAGGCTTGAGCCACCCGGTTCGGCTACATCGATGTCTATGAATCGATTTATACTGAAATCCATCCATTCCCGTTTGTCTATGGCAGCTTTCTAGACCTGAAAAACTGCAGCAGAAAGCTGCATGCTATCCAAAGGAAGTTTATTTGGCATTTCAGAATATGTTTGCCAAACCTGGGTGGGGCCCAGTGGCTTTTCAGTGAACCGGTTGTCTAAATTCATGTATGGCCTCTTGAGTTAAAGAGAAGTGGGCTGAAGACCATGACCGTGTTTATGAATTGAGTGACTATGTAACAGGTGAGAACACAAAAAGGAAATGCGAATAGAAAGCAGAGTAGACAAAGAGCTGGTTCTCAATGGATCGGGCTTACACAGCTGTAGAAATTAACGCTATGTACCAAGAAGCGTGCGCTTCAGAAAGAAAGTCACTCAAAGGGAAACCGGAGAGTGTGGTCGGCGTTTCTGAGGCTGATGAGAACTGAAACAAGAAGCAGGTCTAGGTTAGCACACTGGGGGATATTTACACAGCAGGCACAGTCATGCACTCCATCAGCACAGATAAAAAAGAAAGTTCTAGAAGTTCAATGAGCCATCGAGAAAGACCACAGGGAAGTCAAAACTTAAGAGGATTTTATGAAAGGCACTAATCAGAAGATCAAAGGCATCAATATAGAGTTAAATAAGGCCACCCCTTAGCCACAAAGCAGGGCAAGGAAGTGCGTGCTAGATTCTCTAGGTTTTGTTGTTGTTGTAAACATTGAGGTCAGGGTCTTGGAAGCTGGGTTCAAATACTCTTGTGCTAGGGAAGTGCAGGAATATGTGGATGGACTTTTTAGGGGAGCTATTAGTGAAAGGGCACCTGCTTTCATAGAGGTCTTCTAGAAATAAGTTGATGGACTAGAGAGGGGTAAGCATTATGCTGAGAATGGGGAGAGGGGAGGAACTGACCCTGAGCAAGGTGACAACATGGAAGGCCAGGAAGTTGGACAGTACACACTTGGAGACGTCGTGGTCAACAAGAGACCCACAAATCACTTGTGTGTGTTGGTGGGGGAGAAAGGGAGTCTTTTCTCATGAACATCTGCATCTCCCAGGATTCAGGGCTCACAACTCCTGCTTAACCCACAACCCCAGTATTCCCAACATCTTGCCATAAACTCTGAAATGTTTGGACTTCAATTAGTCTTTTCTTTCCTTTCTTTGACTCTGAAGTATTTCCAAACTGGACGCCTTGGATCAAGCTGCATCAGGAGGGGCGGCTGTAGCTCCTGACTGATGGCGGTGATGCTGGGGAAGATCTGCATCAGACTCAGTCATAGGTCTCACGGCCTGCCTACTTCTGGGAGGCAGAGTCTATGTTGCTCCACGCGACCCCCACCCAACTCCACCCAGCCTTTGTCCTGGACGGAGATCATGGATGGTGTCATCGTCCGCAGAAGACAGCTACAGGTACAGAACTGAAGAGAGCGGAGTTGAAACTGATAGACATTTGGCAGCAAGAGAAGGTAGAGCACTTGCCTAGTACTGTGAGCCTTGACTCTCATCCTTAGCTCTGGAGAGAGAGAGAGAGAGAGAGAGAGAGAGAGAGAGAGAGAGAGAGAGAGAGAGAGTGAGAGAGAGAGAGAGAGAGAAACAGAGAGAGAGACAGAGAGACAGAGAGATGGGGAGGGAAATAAATGGCAGAGAGATAGAAAATAGATGATAGAGATAAATAGATGATAGAGATGATGATGACAGATAGAAGATAGATAGATAGATAGATAGATAGATAGATAGATAGATAGATAGATAGATGGTATTAGATAGAT